TATGAATATATCTAGTTCTTTCAAATTACCGAAATTTGTCGGCTTATCGAATCGAGTTTTTCGAATTATCGATATTTCTGGGGTTAGTAACTTTATTGAACTATCACCATTTATCGATTTATCGAGTTACTAGGTTGTATCGACTTATCGAATTTGGTCGTAAGATATCGAAACTTCTGGAGCTATAAAAACTTATAGAGATCAAAAATTTATAGAGTAATAAAAAGTTTATCGCGTTATCGATATACATCATGATATGTACTTACTTACTTACTTGTACTGTGTTACTTATTGGAAGTTATCAAGGCACAATTTTTCGAGATTTATTTGGTTTGTTTCACAGTATACAGTAAACCAGCTATTGACAATATGCTTATTTGAAAATTAATACATGAAATATTGTGCATGTGTAGGATTTTTTTGTCATTAACCCATAGGCAACGGCTGGTGCAAAAGTACCCACAAATGTTTGTTGATATATTTGAAATGTAAATTTTAACAGCGAAACTCGTGAACAAAAAATAATAAAACAAAAATATTGTTGATGGGAGGTGGTCGTGGTTATAGACAGATTTCACCAAAATTTAATACTATCCTAAATTATACCAAAGGCAACTTCGGCACCGACTTTCGTTAAAATATCTAAATTTTGTTCGAGTTAGCGAGTCAGATACGACTGAACCAATTCATTTCGTCATTCTGAATATTTTGATAAATATGTATGTAATAATATATGTGTATATACATTTTATACCGTTGAAAAACGGCCTTGCTTATCTGCATAAACCTTTATTGCATTAGTTCGAGCGTCGATATATAACTTTGGGTACATGTTTCATAAAAACTTTGGAGATCTCCACTATAAGAGTGGTATATTTTTAAATTAGAGAGTTCTACCTTTAAGCTAAGTAATACTTGTTTTACTCCCTAATTTATGGGTCAATTTTTCCAAAATCAGCCCACCATTATTGACTCAAAGTTGTGTTTGGAACCAGATATGACTTATGTAGGAACTGCATCCGGTTATAATCGCTTACGCTGCAAGCCTGATTTGCTAGGAATTTTGTTTTTCTCGTTGTTTAATATTTAAAGTGACTTGGAAATATTTGCCACTATAAGAAAATATTGAAATTGAATTTCATTTGGGTTAAAGAAAACGACAGCTGTGAAAAAATATCAACCAATACCTTCAAATAAATTGTCAAATAAGCATATTTGCATTTTTTGTTTTGCCTATCTGGATTACTGTTTATATGGAAAAGGGTGCATAACACCGTCAGCAAAAAAATTATCAAAAATCAAGGCGATTTTTTAGAAACTTCAAACTTGTACTTTATTACAATAGAATTTAATAAACTGCATACCAAAAATTATTCTAAAAATTAAAATTAAAATGCATGGAATTGTGATGAAAAGTTTGGGGAAATTTTATAATTTTTTTACAAAGTGGTAAAATTATTCTAGAAATTAAAATTAAAATGCATAGAATTGTGATGAAAAGTTTGGGGAAATTTTATAATTTTTTTACAAAGTCTGAAATTTAGATTCATATGGTATTTGTTAGGTAAAAAGGTACACTTTTATATGAAAATAATAAACCTTAAAAAATCAAAAGACAAGTAGTCAAAGCTGGTAAAAATGTTGATATGCTATCGTTTGTCGCGGGGTGTATATATTCCATACTTACGGCCAGCCTATCAGTATGTCCTTTGAGAAATAGAAAGTATCTTTTTAAAATGGGTATGTATCCTCCAAAATTAAAAATGTAAATTCAGTTTGTTGTATAGTGAAATAATATAAGGTGTTCCAGCCAGTTTGATGCACACTTATTCGAAAGCAAAAATTTAAATTGTCCTCCTTAGGGACTAAAAACTTGAGTGTTGCATGTGTGCTTTTGGAAATTTATTGATGTTTAATTAAATTTTTCATTTTTACGAAACATTGTAGTTCATTCGAAATTAATCAGCCTAGTTAATAAGTCATCTGCTGGTGTATAGAAAAATCTAAAATTTTATGCGATACCAGTACTATTTCACTTAACTCAAAAACCTAAAGAGCGCTCTTTTTGATTTTTCACTTCACCAGTGAAGTTTTTTTGTGCTCAATTTAAAATTTCACAAAGAATCTCATAAACTCCTTGAAAGTTTCCATGCGCTGCTCCACATTCGTTATGGTTTTCATTTTAGCCGACCAATTCTGCATCTTTTCCGCTTGGAAATCCTCATTGTTGCGCTGTGCTGGTGTCAGCTGCGCCAAATATGCATCCACCTCTTTCACAAACTTATTCATAAATTCAGTTTGCTTTTGTGTCACTTCGCGTTGCCAATTGGCGAGACCATGCTTCTTTAGCGAACGCTCAATTAAATAATTTTCTGAAGCAAACTTTCGTCTTGGATTTGTGGTGTCGTGGCGTCTTAGAATGCCTTCGAATTCCTGATAAATCAACGACTTGGCAATGAGATAGAAGAAACGATTTGCTGTATTACTTTTTGCCGGTGGCTCTTCTTGCTCCTTGTCCTCTACTTGGCGCACGAAATTCTCCATTATACCTCTCTCGGCGTTCATGAGTTCACTCTGCACTTGTACAACTGCACCATCTGCCAGCACTTTTTGCACCAAAGCTTTGCTATGCTGCAATTGAAAGTCGGTCAGCTCCAGGTACTCTTCAATCATTGTGGTTAACAATTGTTCGCGTTTGTTTGCCGAATCCGCAGCGGTCAGTGCTAAGCAACAGTTCGCCAGCTGCAAGTGATTTCCTTAGAGAAATTTATTTATTCCACCAAAATTGGTATCCAAAATACTTACCACCCCCAGCAGCAATACACTGGCCAATGAAAGGCGTAGCTGTTGATTTGTTGTGGACATTTTTTTGCCTTTATGCAGATGTGTAGCCGAATTTCTTTTTCTTCAAATGTGCTTACATCAAAATTTCGAACGCTAATGAACTGCAAGGGAAAATACTGATTGTCAAGAAAGTAAACACCAGATATATATTGTATTTGTAAACGTCGGGCACAGGGATGCCAACTATATTAAGGCTAATTCCCCGAAAATTTCCTGAAAAAATTCCCCTATTTTCAGTGGATTTCCCCCAAAAGTAACATTTGCTATTTAGGGCTATTCATTCTCATTTCCAAGTTGTTTTTTTTTGTAAAGCATACATATCTATCATATATTGATGAAATTTTTGTAATTGTCTACAAGTCAGTCTAAAAGCAAGAGAGACTTTATTTTTAAGTAATTGTATTGCGCGTAAAATTGCCTCCAAAGTATCTATGCCAAGCCTATTTCTGATTGCAGTTTCTTTTATTAATTTTGGAAAAAATTTCTATATACATATTGATAAAAACTTACTTCTATGAGACTGCTCAAAGTAAGAAATGATAGCAGTAAAAATATAAATGTCAAGTTAGAAGTGTTGTTATTGTTGTTGTAGCAGCACGTAGTCCCCATGTTGGTTGGTTCTAATAAAAATCATTTGTATACTGAATTCCCTTAAAATTTAAAGCCATTCCCCGATTCCCCCGAGAAATTCAAATTCCACCAAAATGGGAGAATCCTCGCCGGGTTGTCATCACTGTTCGGGCATCACATTCAAATCAGTACATATGCATGTATGTACATATGTATGTATACGTGCAAATGCTGTTGCATAAAGTGGAACTGAGTATTTTGCTTTGCCGCTTATCAGGCAGTTGCAAAGGTCAGCGGGAAACATTTAAGTTATATATATGGTGAGAGAAAACATATAGTACTTGTACATACTATGCATAACTGTATGTAATGGGTCGTATAAAAGTCTGCGAGGTTGAATTACATGTTGGCCATTATTATCTATGACCTTTTGCCATTGTTTTCGGATAGCTTCATAATTCCATCCATGTAGAACTTCTGTGGTTTGTCGGCGAACCACTTGCCCAAGGGATTTTTATCGGCTCTTCGGTTGGCAAATTTTTTACCATCAAAAGAGTTCTGCAGATACGGAAGTCAATGGAATTCGGATGATCCAAGGTCCGTGTTATAAGATGGATACATTAAAACTTCCTAACCGAGTTCCGTCAATTTTTTCCGAGTCATCAAAAATGTGTGTTGCACGGTAAAAATCTATAAATGTCTATAACAAAATCGATGAAAATATCGATAACAAAATCGATGAAAATATCGATAAAAATATCTATAGCAAAATCGATAAATATCGATGACAAAATCGACAAAAATATCGATATAAAAATCGATAAAAATATCGATAACAAAATTAATGAAAATATCGATAAAAAATATAAGTTTGTATAACGATAAGTTCCGAGAATCCGAAAATCACTAAAATCCCGAAATAGTTCCCACACTGAGTCTCTGTGTATCTATCTACATACTTATATCCTTTTCTTTATAATTACCTTTATTTTAAACATTCTTCCCTAATCTTCAGCTTTACTTTTATCGGTATGGCCATCTTTTCTTATATTATTTTATCAGTTTATTCATCTACACCTTCACGTTTGCCCTTTTCCGTGTGCAATTTCCGTTGCATCATTTCCGTGTGCAATTTCTATTGAATTTGTCAATTTACTTCCAACCAACCAACCGCCGCTAAAGAATTTTCACTTCAAAAAGAAAATAAAAAAATTTAGGTGATTGCGGATGGCCCTTAGCAGGCAATGGAAAAGCTCCGAATGTATTCCTGCCATGAAAAACAGCTTCTCATAGAAATACAATCGCCGTTTGTGACAACATCAAGGCGCATGCCACAAATCGGAGCAGAAGCTCGGCCAAACCAAGCACCAACATATTGTGTTAGCGCCAATCAATATTATGGCAACTACATAGCTGTTCGATTAGCAAAATAAAATGCGTCATTAAATAACGGTAGACAAACAGCGTTTAAAATTAAGTATACATATTCCTTATCGCATATACAAAAATATGCACAAATACGTATGTAAATACGTACATATGTATGTAAAGACATCTTTATAAATAATCGGTATGTGAGGCAGTTGTCATAGTCTGATCTTGTACCCGAACTGATAAGAACAAAATCTTTGGTGATCAGCCGGATTTTGAATGCGACTTCTGTTTCATAAAGGGGAAATTCACTACAAATACGAGCAAAGTACATAAATAGCTACTTCGCAATCAAAAATTTGTTTCAGACAACATGTGAAAAAAGTTCAATAGCAGTGTATGCGCACCATTTGAAGTGATTACAACTAGTGATCGAACTGAAGCAAAACGGATTGAGAAAAAATATGTCACGTCGAGCGATTAATTTGAGTATCAACGTGTTACTGCTGGTTGGAGCTGTGGGTGAAAAATAATTTAATTTTATTCAAAAACTATTTTTCTAAAGAAATAAAAACTAAGGAAGTACATCGTTTTTCTTTAAACAGCTCGCTTTCGCCAGCGCTGAGACTTCTGCAGAATATTGCAGTGAGACCACGTGCGATGTTGCGCGCGATCAGCTATTGGAGGCTATAACGGAAGACTACCTCAAAGTACTCGACTATGAAATGAATCAAAGCAAGGAGTTGTTGGAGAAAGTGCTCGCCGATGATAGGTTCCAGGATATACGCAGTGAAATACTGCTTGGCAAGAAACTTATCCTCAGCGATTTCGTGGAGCATATTGAGGAGCGAAAGCTGACGCAGTTTCCAGAGAAGGTGTATAAGCCCGCTCGTTTCTTCCACATGTTTGGTAAATCGCTTTTGTACAGGGAACTCATAGACATTGTAGCACGCCTGGAGCCCAATAAGAGTCGATACGATAAATGGATTGAGGAAGCGGTGATCGTAAATGGCCTTGAAGCTGTAGTAAACAATGTGAATCGAAAACGTACGAAACTGTGTAGTGACAGTGCGAAGCGAATTGAACAGTATGTGAGCGGATTGCCGGTGGAGCAGCGGCGCAAGGCGTTCGCACAAAAAATGACTAATTGGGCGCTGAAAATGAAGGGAGCCGGAAAGTTGGAAGAAAAAATGGAGCACTTTAGAGAGTTTCTGCGCCACGAATACTTGGAAACAACGTCAATGTTGGATTAGGGGAAAGGCTGGGGAGGTGATGAGCAACTGAATGGGTTGAAGAGTGAAGAATAATTAAAAGTTAGTAACAGAGTAATGCAAATTAGATCGACATTTTTTGTAAATAATTACTTACTAAGAAATAAAATGTTGAATAAGCGCACCTTTGCAAAAAGGAATTTAAATTCAAAGACAACTGTGTCCGAATACTCGTCTCTAAGTAGCATAAATAGTTGTTTTGAGTAGTAATTTTTGTTGACGTGCTTATTTGCGGAAAATCATAAAGCATTTAGAAATTTACTTCATTAGTTTATTATAGTATTCCATCTTGTTTGATTAACGTAATCCTTTTTGTTATGTAAAAAAAAAAAAATATTTGGCGATATCTCGATTTGGGAAGTATACTACTTTTTTACGAGTTTTCACCTGGTCAAAAGGTTAAATTAAATTAATATATTCAATCAAATATTCAATACATGTGTCAAACAAACAAAATTTTAAGCGAGCTTAATTTCGAAGATATTTTTCAAGAGGGTTGCCACCTGTTTAAAAACGAAATTTTGCACAAAGATGGTTCATGACCTGGATTGAAAAATTTGCTTTCCCGATCGGAAACAAATTTGACTCACTTACTAAGGGTCTTAGACTGAGAGTAATTCCGGTAACTCAAGGCCCCTCCCATACAAATTGGAAATTTTGATAATATATACATATCTCTGAAAGTATTTGTGGGTGAGAACTGGAACTTGGTATGAAATTCATACTCACAGAGAAAAACGAACGCTTTTGGAAAAGAGGCGTGACACCTCCCATACTACCTCTAACTAAATTTCATATTGCATATCTCTTCAAATAATTGGGGTAGAGTACCCAAGCTTGGTGTGGAGATATATTTGTATGTATGTATGTGTAACCAATGCCATACTCATCGAGGAAGGTTAGAGTTATTGGACAAGGTGGCGCAACAACTCGCATGCAAATTGATTTTTTTTATGCTTCATATCTCTGGCGGTGTTTATTGCAGAGTACTGACACTTGAAACCGAGATGTGTATACAAAATTAATTCCAGACTCATGGAGAAAAATTGGGGTTATTCAGCTAACTTGAAAAAATAATATTTTTTTTTCAACTCAAATCTTGCCGCCCTTAAATTTTTTCGCCCTAGGCACCTGCCTATGTTGCCTTCACAGTAAATCCGCCACTAGACACAAGCTCTTCAATTTATGCCACTCTTAACAAACCTATTGCCTATAGACCCTCAGAAAGGCCTTTAGCTCCTGAAATTATCTTTTGGGTTTATTAAGGCTAATCAAATTTGCACAAAATCATAATGCTGCAGTCACAAAGCAATACGATGCCTGCAGCGCTTTTTCTCTATTTACTTTCTATGGTTTGAAAACACATGTTACCATTTGACGTGGAATGTCAAGGTTACTCATAGCCCTTCCAAACCGTTCCCTTTTGTAAAGTGACATAATTATTTTTTAATAAATAAGGTAAATAAAATAGCCTTGCCTATAAACATTTATTTAGAAGCGCTCTCGAAATTACCAATTGGGTATTTGCAGTAAATAATAGAATGTCTGTATTTCTCACATTCCTTCCTGCCATTATTTTTTAGTACAGTTCATCAAAAGGTTTATCATAAATCCATTTCCTTTAAATAGAACTTAATAGACCTAACAAGAGTACCTGACCTTTATTGATTCAAAGTTCATGGATTATGGGGATGTACTAAAATATAACATGGTACTAGTACATAAGCACCAATGAATGTATGTTGAATCTATTGTATAGCCTATACACTGTTGTTGAGTAAAATTCACAAAGGTATGAGTTGAAGTTCGAAATATTACGCACAAATGAAAGTAAAATTTAAGCGATAAAAAAGGTCAAGGCAATACCATTTATCTTTGACCTCGGGCTTTTCATCAATATCTAAGTATGCAGTTAATGAAAGTAAGAAATTTTCATAACTATGTATGCGGAAATGACTGCTGCATAAGTAAAGGAATAAACATACATACATATCTGTGTATGCCGCACCACAAGTAGCTTTCATGCCTTTTTCCGAAGTGAGAAACTTTGTTATGTTAGTGTTTGGTCGTTGTACATTTTGTACGGTATCTGTAGCCTACGCCAGTGCTCGTCAAACTTTTGAGTGTGACGGACCGGCTGCAGTTTTTCTATTACGTCGGGGACCGGTACCTTTTTTTATTGACTATTTTTCGTTTACGATCATCTCACATATGTATTAAAATTTGTTTAAATGAATTTCTTTATTAGCCGGGTGTCTATATATGACCTATTACCATTTAATGATAGCAGATATTAGCGATTTTTTATGAATGTTTAACAAATTTAAGTTGTTTTTATTATACAAGTTGTATATAGCCTCATTAAACAGTAATATAAAACATCAAAAAATCGTTGTCCATTTCGCGACGCCCTTTGCGGACCGGCGACTTATGGCTTACGGACCGGCACCGGTCCGCGGACCACCACTTTGACGAGCACTGGTCTACGCCATCAGGGCGATATGTCTTGCGAAGAAATGTACTTTCGAAAGCCATCAAAGAATTCCCACCTTTCTTCAATATCGTGCACGTTTCTGCGCCGTATTAAAGGACGGGTATGAGAAGACAGCCAACGCACATTGTGACTTATGTATAAAGAAATTTTTGTTCGACGAGAAAGGGCTCTGCCTTCCACCTGTCTACCAAGACCAAAGTAGCACCTGTTAGCCAGAATAATTTCGCATGATCCCCAGACGGATATTTTATATGCGTGTATGTATTTATATTCAAAAAATTCTGCAAGTCCCATTTTTTAAGGTGTCAAATATAGAATACCAATTTTATTTGATTTAATGAATATTCTAGCCTAATTGATAGCCATTTAATATATTTTGTGTACGCATTTTCAAAATCGTTGTCAAAATAAAATCATTTATTTGGTATTTCGTTTTAGTGTGGAAAATATTAAATGACACTCGTGCATGTGTCCCACTCCGATTTTAAATAAGTTCAACAAATGTTGGAATGTAAGCACATGGCACTTTTTTTTTTTGTTAACCTTGACCGAGCGGCAAAACAAACCAAAAAAAAAAATACTACAATAAAAGTAATTCAACTACGCGTAAAGTCTATGCGTAGTTAAATTACTTTGTACATATTAGGGTATGTACATGTATTTATCTGCGAATGGAATGCCCCGCTTGAATTAATCCGACGAATTGAAAATCTCTCCCTTTTTGAAGTTGGTTAAAAATGTTTGAGTTCTTTTTTAATTTCATGTAAATAAGGCGCAATTTATGAAACTTGAAAAAGTTTATTTATTTATTACATATGACTGTACATAAAACTTGCATAAACGTACTATAAAGAGCATATTATCGGAAGCAAATTTTCAGAAGTATAAACCCCTCCGAAAATATATACCTGGATGCGCCCCTGAAACGGGACGTAACTTATGGTCCTGTGTGTATGTGCCTCGAATGACGTTTTAAGTATTAATATCGAAACTTTTTTTTCGTACGCTGCGTATTATGCTCAATAATTTATTATTATTAATATATACTTTTACGCACATGTCCATGATTAGCGCTATATGCATGTACATACAAACATACAATAAATGCACGCAATATTATTGATTCCTATTCTATATTGTCCCTTATAGAATCGACAGAACAGACGGCAACGTTAGTCAAGATTAGCAGCGTAGTTGCTCAGCTCAAAATTATTTCCCGTGTAAGCGAGACGCGAAGTCGTGGGTTGAGTCCCACGGCTATTATTTTGTTTTTTAATACTTGCAATTATTACTATGTGCTTTTTAATGTAATTACTATAGTTGTAGACTTTTTTAATAAAATAAAATTCTAAAAAACTAAATCTGAAATAAATGTGTGAAATAACATAAAATAAAATAAGTTAACATAAAATAAAATAAAATAATAGACGAAGGAGTAGAGGCCACATTCATAGGTACTTTAAGTTACCAGATCATTGCAGTATCTGTGAGGCAAATAAACATTTACATCGAGAATCATGCGGTCATTAAGGCTCTACTTGCATATGAAATAAATTAGATTAACGTCGCGGACTGTAAGGAGGCTGTAAGAAGGCTTGCTTGGCTTAAACCGTCCACCTAAATAGGGTCCCAAGACACAGGTTTATGTGGAGGTAATGAGAGAGCTCACGAGCGAGCCAATGCGAGTGCCTCCTTACACGCCTCACTAGTGACGAATATACCAATTCCTCTTCGGGAAAACAAAAGATCACAAGATCTGCTCAAATATCAGCAAGCGGATAGGCTTTGAATAAGAACTCAGGGTGCAGACTTGCAAAGATTATGTGTAATTCAGACAATAGGAAACTTACTGATTTCCTACTAGCAACAAGACTCGAGGCTTCTGGTAAGATTGCTAACAGGGCATTATTTACTAGCAGTACATGCATTTAAATTAGGTTTTATAGATGAATAAAAATGTAGAAAGTGTAACTATCACGAGGAAACCGTGGAGAATATAATTTGCTAGTGTCCAGCAGTCAGCGGAAAAGCATTTATTTATAAGTCGTAAACGTATCTGGAAACGCTATGATCGATATATTCATATATGTGAGACCTTTAATGGTTAGCCAGCATAACTCAACCTGACCACTCACCATTGAATAGTCTGAAAATCTCCTTACCGAAATCAATGGAAAAGTAACTTTTTTTCCTTTTTCCTTTGTGATTTTTTAATAAGCTGAGTTTTCAAAAAATATAAAAAAAGTTGTTCGAAAGAGAAAAACTAGTCAAAAATCAAAAATGAAGGGTTTAGTCAAATAGTTTTTGACGTAGAATACGTCTTACCTTAAAGTATGGGGGCTATGTTCAAATGTTGTAGTTGTAATTTTTAGAGCTTCACAAAAACGCTTATTGCACGAGAACTAATAAAGCGATTTCAAAGAAAAGTGTGGCGTTTCAAAGATAAAATTCCAAGCCTGTCGACAGATTCATTTTTGTAAATAACCAATTCGGTTTCTGTCGTAAAAACAACGGTAAACATTGCCTTATTTTGGGGTCAATTTTGAGCCTTTAAA